TTCCCTGTAACCACACACACACACACACACACACACACACCCCTCTAAGATGTCCGTGTCTAACTACCCATACCTCCATACCTCCTCTCAGTCTCGGAAGTGCCTAAGGATCCCATCTCACCTTGGGATGCTTCACGGTCCCCTCCCACCCCCTCTGGGGCCGCTGCCAGGGCCCCCGGGCACACTCTAGGGGCTCAACCAATGCTGGACAGATGAAAGATTGCCTTTAAGGAGGTGAGCCCCTGTTTTATGGAAAATTAACTTCTGGGAATTTCTGATGAATGAAGAATTGCTGTAGTCTTTGCCAAAGCCTGCACGGACAGGCCAAGTGATGAAAAGGGTCTTTTTTCTTCTGGTCCCCTATTTTCTCCCTCCCTCTTACCCCCGGGTTGGGGGTAAATTTACCTACAAGGTCTGAGGGGTAAAGAGTCTCGGTTAACCCTTCCAGAGCCGCCCCTCCCCAAGCTCCCTAGCCCAGCATGATTCAGTGACACCTTTGAGAGGATAATTTGATGAATGACGTGGACAAATTAGACTTGTGAACCTGACATCGCTGTTGATTCCAATGGTGAAGAAAGGAAGCGGGCAATCTATTTTTGAATCTTATCATCGATGATGACGATGTCGCTTTGATCAGCAGCGGAGGAGTGCAACCTTAAGCCAATCCTGAGCCCCCCGGGCCCCCCTGGCATTCCTACCCTGCCCTGCTCTGCCAGGGGCTGAGGGGCCTGGGAGAGCCAGCTTCCGGTTGCTGAGTCACAGGCCACAGGCGTAGGCACTGGCCACCGGGCAGCTAGGAGCCCCTCCCAGCTCACAGGATCTTAAGGGGTGGGGGCTGTCAGGAGTTTCTCCAGGCTCCCCCCACCATGGGGTCCCACACTTCCGGCCTCCTTGGCCATGTTCCCTTGGCCTGTTCCCTGCCACTTGAAACTGAAGAGCTGTCTCTCTGATTGAATTTGAAACCAAATGATCAATATTCTTGAGCCAAAATGTGCCGGGTGTGCCCCTCATCCATTCTCCTCCATCGTCCACCCTCAGCCCTTTCCTTGACAGAAAAAAAAAAAATTTTTTTTTCTCCAATTCTCCCACCTCACCTTTTTTGTGCCTGTCCTAGAGTCTGAACTCAGGGTCTGGGTACTGTGTCCCTGATCTCCTTTTTTTTTTTTTTTAATTTGCTCACAGTTAGAACTGTACTACTTGA